TTTCCTTGTTTCTTTTCTTCCCCACCTTTTCCATTTCAGGGATTCTCTTGTTCCTTTTCTTCCCCACGTACCAACAAACTACAAATGGACAAGATTTCGCCATATGGCCCATATCTTAACCTTTTCTCAAAGCCTGAATATAGACAAGGGAAGGGAGGTTCTAGGGATGGCGATGGCCCCATCTATATCAAAATTAATAGACCAACAAATGGGACCGGATTTTGAAAGAATTAATGAGAGAAAATGCAGGCACTATGGATTATGAAATACTGATTCCTCCTGAACATCCCATAGAAAGTGTTTGTTATCTTCTCCTCTATAATTATCAATCAGACAATTTGGAACTTCATTTTTGATAATTTAACCAAAATAACAATTCCAGTAAATTGTTGGTATGTTGAGCAAGTGTTTTTGTTTTAAGTAAAATTATCTTATATATTGCATGAAAGTTGAGCAGTTAGACATAAATATAACAAAAATCACCAAGAAAACTATGAGACATTCAGATAGGGTAATAGGGTTGTACTCGGGGGCGGTAACACTTAGCCCTCTGAGCTAGGGATGACAAATTTTCTCCTTGATTTTAAATGGGGATAGGGAAAATATTTAGGAAAATGACCAATTAGCTCAAGGTCAGAATTTGTAAGTTCAAAGTACTGTTGGGGTAGGTGCCAGCTCGGAATTAATGTCAATTCACGGGCAGGCATTGATGTATAGAGTGTGTGTTGTGATCCTTTTGAATGTTTATAATTCTGCAGCGTAAATCAGAAATCTGCATTGGGAAATCCATACTTCTCCGAAAATACTTTTGCCCCAAAGCAACCACAGGTTTTGCATATAATTCTTTGAACCCACTCTAAACCTAGTGGGAAATTATTAAAATACCCTTAATTTTAATATTGATTTCAAAAATACCCTTGAATTTACTCCCAATTCCTAAAATCCCAGGATCTCATAATCTCATTTCTAAAATATTCCTAAATTTTTATAATCCTATTTCTAAAATATTCCTAAATTTTCATAATCCTATTTCTAAAATACTCCCGAGATGTATTTTTAGGTGATTGCCTAGTTGTCTTAGGATAAAAAAAAATTTAGAGATTCTTGTGCCCAACGGAAAAGGGTGGCCCACTCCGCCACTGGGGATGGGGTAGGAATAGGGTAGTGCATTTTGGCTACGGTACGGGGTGGGGATGGGGAGGGAGTGCCCTGCCCCGGACGTATCCCATTGCCATTCCTACTTTCAACTATGTTTTTTTGACAATGACCACTCCCCCATACATTATCTTCTAGGTTCTAACACTTTGCCCCCCAACATATTAATAGCATTGAGAGTGAAAGTAAATTGCCTATTTTGCCTATTCAGGATTATATGGGCTAACAAGTAACAACAACAAATATCAAATTAATGAAAATATCCATTCTAAATCACAAAGTCACAAACAATTCTCAAGGCATTGAGGTTCCTATCATTCCCAAAGAATTCTTGAAAATTATTGAAAAGAGAGTTCAAATAAACATGTGAGAGTTAAGGTTCAGAGAGAAAAAAAAAGAAGCTAGGGTTAACTACTTAAAATACTCCTGAACCAACAATTAGTTAAACTACCTCTTAAGTTTTAAAACCTTGGAGTATGACATGACACACACACACTACCCTGTCGTTAGTTGGCCATCTTATTCTGCTTACATCCACATCACGTGGCGATTTTAAATTTTCAAAAACCCAACTTTGCCCTCACTTATTACCTGAGAACTTACCGTTTATTGAGAAGAGACCAAACTACCCCTAAGCTTTAGGAATGGACTAAAACTTACCCTATTGTTTGAAAATCCCCTTAAAGTAATTTTTATTTTTTATTTTTACAATTGTCGTCATATTATATATTAACAGAATGTTGAAATGTCAAATTTACCCTTCTGTTAAGTGAATAATAAAGCAAATACCTCTAATTTATCTTCTTCCGCTACTTTGATCCTCCATTTACCACAGAACATAAGCTCTTCTCCTCTCCCTCCGCTTCTTCTCTTCTCTTCCTCCCCACTTTTCATCAAGGTTTTTAAAAACGAACCAGAAATAAAACCGGTCAGGGGATTGATTTCCAGTTAAATGGTTTAGCCGTCTAAGTCGAACGGTTCGACTCGTGACATCATAAATAGATTAAAAATAAAAAATATTTATAAATAATAAAAAATAGTATAAATTAAATAAAATAAGAAAAAAATACAGAAAATAAAATTATCTAAATGAAAAAATAATATAGTACAAAACACATAGAAAATATAAAAATAAAATACAGAAAAATTCTAAAAATACAGAAAAAACACAAAAAAAAAATAAAAAACATAGAAAAAGCAGAAAAATAAAACAGGAAATTACAAATAAATACAGAAAATACTGAAAATTACAGAAAAAATAGAAAAATGCAAATAAATAGAGGCAAATACAGAAAAATAAAATAGAAAAGTGCAAATAAATAGAGAAAAATATAGAAAAAAAAAACAGAAAACTGCAAATAAATACAGAAACAAAAACAGAAAAAATAAAACAAAAAAGTGCAAATAAATACAGAAAAAAAGAAAAATAAAACAGAAAAGTGAAAATAAATATAGAAAAAATAAAACAGAAAAGTGCAAATAAAAATAGAAAAAATAAAAGAGAAAATTGCAAATAAATACAAAAAAATAGAAAAATAAAACAAAAAATTGCAAATAAATACAGAAAAAATCAGGCTCGCCGTCGGTGGGCTTGGGCTTGGTCACAGGTGATTGCCGTTGCAGGTGTTGCTGCAAGCTTGCAATTGTTATTGCCGCTAGAAACATGGTTTTCAAAACCAGACTGAACCAGACGGTCGGACCGAAAAACTGAGAACCGATCACCTAACTGGTTCCGTTTTTCCCCAAAACCGTTGATTTTGGTCAGCAAACCACTGATCCGGCTGATTAACTGTTCGAACTGGTAACTGGACCCCTGACTGGTTTGGTCGCTGGTTTGGTTTTAAAAACCATGGCTAGAAACCCCCGCCCGCCACTGCAAGTCGATCACCGGACCTGTTATTGCCACAACTATTACTGTTGGACGACTAGACCTGTTGCAAAATCAACGCTAGCCATTGTAGATGAAGCTCACCATCGTCCCTAGTCACCGTAAATTGCCATTAGTCGTTGTGTGTTTCCATTGGATGCCATAGGTAGTGGCCATCACAAGTGGTTGGTTGGGTGTGAAGACTGAGAGGAGGGAAGGGTTAGAATGAAAATGGGGGTCATTCTAACCCTAACCATTAGTAAGATTTGGGGTGGGGATATGATTGGGTGTAAAGACTAAGATGAGGGAAGAGTTAGAACGAAAATGGGGGTCATTCTAATCCTAACCATTAGTAAGATTTGGGGCGGGGATATGAAAGTCATTTCATTTTTTGTTTTCTCTATTTTATTTAAATTTATAAAAATAAAAAATATAACTTATGAACCATTGCCTGGGTCAAACGGTTTAGCGGTTCGACCGCCTGAATTAACGGTTTTTTGACTTTTTCAACGCTTTTAAGGAATTTCCGATTTATAGTATAACCGAACCCGAGGGGGCTGATCGGTTACCGGTTTTTCCAATCTGGCCGTCTGGTCCGGTCCAGTTTTGAAAACCATGCTTTTCATCATCACCATCTTATGTGCTCCGGACCCCCAATCATGAGAGATCTCTTACAATTTTATCCAATTTTACAATAAGGTTTCATTGTCTCAATCTTCAGTTTGTTTTTGGTTTGGGTAGTCGTGACAATATACATATATACATGATGGAATTTGGGTCCAATCCAACTGAGAAGAATATACTTCTCTCAACTCGGTTCCTCCGTAAGGAGCTTCTATAAGAATTCCCTGGAGAGCAATTGAGCTTGAAAACTTGCCTAGTTGCCTTATGAGCGATTTAATAAACCAAGGAAACTACTGTCTAATGATGCCAAATACCATTGCCCTTAACCATTCTTCAAAATTTCAAAATATTATTTCATTAAACAAGGACATGGTGGTTAGATTGTACTTTTTTTGGTAAAGAAAATGCCATTTAAAGGAGAGGAAGAATAAGAGGAAAGAATAAGAAGGGAGGAGGAAGAGAATAATTAAGGGTAAAAAAGTCTTTCGGTCAAATTTAATGATAATACAAAAGGGAAATCGAATTTCGAAACTTCAGGATACCTTAAGTAGGTCTTTAAGTAATTGTAAGAGAGTTCAAGGACGCTGTAATTAATCCAAAAAAGCCTAACCCAAAAGGACAGAAGGGTCACATAGAATAATATAAGGATAACTTTGTGTTTTAGAAATAGCTAGGGTACTCTTTCAATAATGGTGGAGACAAATTGATAGAATCAACAGTCCAAGAACAAACTTTTTTGTTCTTTTTTTTGAACGAGACCGGATCACCCCCCACAGCACATTTTCGCCGTGTATTAAGAACATCTCTCGTGTATTGGGAACATCTCTCGGGAGATATTTCCAATACACGGCGAAGGTGTGCTGTAAGACGTTGTGGGGACAGTCTTGTGGGGGCTGATTTGAACTCTTACGGAATAAACTTGGGGATCCGGATTTCCTCCCAGGAAATTAGTCCTCACACTTGCAATTATGCATCCGAAAACGTTTCCATCAAACATAAGTACGGAGATGTTCTCAATCCACGGATGTCAGTGTGAAAATCAATTTTGTGAACTAGAAAATCCAAACTACAGTGAAAGGGGCTAGGTGTCACTGTCCGGGTTGTTGTCTATACTCTATAATTAGCGTTTGACCATGATATCAGAAAATAATCGATTCGGAATATCATGAGTCGGTGCCAACCGAATATTATATCATCGGGATTCGGGAATCGGAGAAACAAAACTCAGAACCAGAACCGGTATAATCGGTTCGGTTCGGGTACACCCGACCAATTGAGAGATGCAAGCCTGCAACTGTAAACTCACTCCATTTCTTCTGCTCCTCTAGCCCTACACTCCATACGGCCATACCCACTTACCTCTTCCTTCTGTTGGCCATCTGCACTCTGCAAAGGCTAGTGTATATAGTCTCCCATCAGCCTACAAGCTACAACCTTCAATACAACGAGACATTTGGCGTTTCTGGTTAATTTACCAGCGACTGCGAGAGACCCATTTTGGTACAAATCATGGCACATGCCGTGTTCCGCAGGATCAGCCACTCTGCAAATGCCATAACCGACTTCTTTCTGTCCCCGCTATTCTTCACCATTATTAGGATTCTCAGTGACCCACTTCGCCAATCTCATCAGACAATGATAATGATTCACCCCCTTCTTCAATATCCCTTTGCTGCAATCAGATCACCCACCCAGACCCAGCCACCTTTCTCCTCTGTAGCTGAATCGCTCAAAGAAGGCATGCCCACTTCAGCTCGTTCACTTTTAAATTTTCAACATTCAAATCGGCAAGTTTGTAGGGTCGATCGTTCTTTTTCCTTTTCTGGGTTGCAGTCAAACTTGGATTATAGATCGTTGACGTAGTCAATTCGCGGTGGGTGTTGACACTTGTCAGTATTTATGGGCGCCTTAACTGTTACATTTGTGAGTAACCAGGTGAGTTATATTCCCAATTAAATCTGTTGTTTATTCCAGCTTCCAGGTTCGACAAGGTTGGAATTTGGGCCCGATTCAATGACATTTTGAAGGTACTGGATCAGAGCCATTACTTATTATCTTTTTCTAACTCTGAGGAAACAAATTCTTCTCTATTAAATAATGGGGATATGATTCTTCTCTATTAAATAATTATTCTTTTAATCTTTATTTTAATCGAAAAGATTCTTTCTCGGATCACTACTATCCGTTTTCATATCCTTCTCTTTCGATCTGAGTTTTCTTCGTATTCCTTTTTCTCCTTTCTTCCAGGGATTCGATTGTGTTGCTTTTCTTTTCCCAGAAAATTTGAGAAGCTTTGGAGGATTTAATTGGATAAACTAAGGTTTGGTTTCTCCAAGTTTCTCTCTCTCTCTCTCTCTCTCTCTCGGTGGGAACAATTGGTGGCTTATACTTCTGTTTCGTGATTTAGAATCATTCGTTGCTGCTAATTTTGGAGAAAATGGTTTAACTGAGCCTAACTATCTAAGCTCTTGTACTACATTGGAATCTCTGAAATCTTGTAGCAGCTGTGAGGTTTTATTGATCTGAAGCTATCTGAATTTCTCTTTTATGAGTTCCTTTTGGGCATTTAAGATGGTTTCGTATGAGGTTCTGCTGCTTGTAAATAACTTTCTATGAATGTCTTCATGATATGGCAAATTGCATTTCTCTGTTCTTTCAAGCAGATTAGGATTTTCTGGCGTTTTAGTTGTTTGATCTCACAAAGTATGCGAGTTACCAAAAAATAAAAACTCACTATGTAAATGGAATGTGAGGAAATTCTCACTACTTTTCAAATTCTTGGGTGCAGAATGTTGATTTACAGCTTGCAAGTGAGAAACATGCATGGGTCATTTTAGTTCATTTGATTTCAATTTTTTTTGCTTAAAACAGCCGTTCCTTTGATTTTACTGTTGCATGGTGTTCTGGAATCCTTCCAATTTGGACTTTGTTTTTCCGTAATTCTTCTTTTGACTGAATTCAGAAGTTGGATTAGCAATGTACCTTATTTGTGAAGAATTATAGTTAATATATCTCAGTTTCTCTTTAAAATTTGAAAAGAAAAAAAGAAAGAGAAATCCCATGGCTTACCATTTCAATGGAGTGCAGTTTATTCAAAATTTTTCTCTTTCTTAACTTATGCAAATTCTAAAATCAAAATGGAATCTTTGACTCCAGGTTATTGCACTCTTCTCCAATTCTCAAGTTTGAGGTTTGAACCACAGGTGCGAATTTCACATCCTCAAGAGTAAAGACTATGTTCAAGGCCCCAGAGCATCAAGTTGCTGGCCACCAGGCTCGTGATGGAAAGCTTGGCCCACTCATTGATGGTTCAGGTCGCTTCTACAAGCCTCTTCAGAATGATGAACGTGGGTCCAAGGAAGTAGCCTTCTATACCTCTTTCTCTTCCAACACCAGAATACCAGACCACATTCGCAGATTCTTCCCTGTTTTCCATGGAACCCAGCTTTTAGAAGGTGCAGATGGGTGTCTGCACCCCCACATGGTTTTAGAGGATCTTGTCTCAAATCGCCTCCATCCTTCTATTATTGACATCAAGATTGGATCCAGGACCTGGTATCCCCAAGCATCTGAGGATTATTTCCAGAAATGTATTAAGAAAGACAGAGAAACCACAAGCTTGTCATTGGGTTTTAGGATATCTGGTCTGCAGGTCTATGAGAGTGAGAAATCAGGGTTCTGGAAGCCTGATAAAAAGTGTACCCAGAGTTTTACTCTGAAGGATGTTAGGTCAGTTCTGAGGAAGTTTGTTTCTTCTAATCCATCTTCAGACGCAATCCCTGATTGTTCATTTGCGTCAGTTGTATATGGTGGTTCCACTGGGATTCTGGCACAACTACTGGAGCTGAAAGCATGGTTTGAGGATCAAACTATTTTTCATTTCTACTCTTGTTCAGTTCTTATGGTTTATGAGAAGGAGGAAGCAATGAAAGGGAAGCCAGGTGCAGAAGTCAAGCTTGTTGATTTTGCTCATGTATTGGAGGGTAAAGGTATTATTGATCACAACTTCTTGGGGGGCCTCTGCTCTTTGATAAAGCTTGTTTCTGAGATTCTCACCTGCCCAGATGAGCAGACAAGCAATGGTTGTTTGCATGAACTTGAGAAGAGTAGATTCTGTTTGGAAAATGGTGTCTAGGAATAGCCAGAGTACTATTATTTGGTTATGTTGTGTTTTACTTGCACATTTATGTTGCTTGTTCCTTTTGGTATGGAGTTCTTCGTGTCAGATTTATATATTAATGAGCAAAAATTTTGATTATAAACTGAGATTAATGAGATGGATTCAATGGGTTCAGATAAGTGACAGAAGAATTTTAAACAATGGATTCAATCTTACCAAAACCTCTAGTTAATTGAAGTGATTGTAAGCAGTGGGTTTCAGGTAACTGTCGGATTTATATATTGAGGAGCAAAAATTTTGATAATACTGACATTAATGAGATGGATTCAATGGGTTTCAGATAAGTGACAGAAGAAACCTTAAACTATGGACTCTATCTTACCAAAACCTGATCATTATTAATTCCAGTGATTGTAAACCATGGCAGCTATGCTAGTAATCCTTCTAGAACTTGATAAGCAGCATAGTTTAATGTATTTGCGATCTTTGTGAAATTTCCTTTGACTGTTAGCTGCTTTATTAAATTTATTAACTTCTAAAAGACTATTCCTTTGGCACATTCAGTTTAAGTTTAGCTGTTGATAATACAGGGTTATCTAGTAGTTGAATTCTAGCAGACACTAATGAGAAGGAGCAGCATATATCAAATGGGCTAATCAAGGTTAGGAACTCCACAGTTTATTGAACATTTCTTTGATCCCATGATTTTGGCAAAAGATAAATCTTTGGTTATTTAGATGTTCAAAGCTTAGAATTTCTTTATGAACACCCATTCTTTCCCTCTTTTTTCTCTTTCTTGATGGGCCTGTTTGAATGTGCTTGTGTGTTCGGTTCTCTCGTCAAAGAAATCAAAACATGTTAGCAAGAAAATGAAGAGGAAAAAAGAAAAAGATTGACTTGGGGACTCCAGATTCTGGCATCCAAATGCAGCATGGTAGGCCTAGTACATGACAAATCCATTAATCAAATTGAAATCTGTAACTACAAAAACAGATTAGCAGATAAGTTAGATAATTTCTTATTGGAACCTTAGTTGGTAAGATGATCTCATTTGAATTGAATGATCCAACTAATAAAAACCCCAAATTCCATTTTATAGATTTATTTATTTTTTTCTGTTACACCATTTTTTTTGGCACTTTTACAATCATTTATTTAGTCCACTGGAGCTTCTTGATGTACACAACATGGTGATCCTTTTTACTGCATCCTATAAAACTATAAAAGCTGAGGGAAGGGTGAGGTTGCTTTGACATGGTTAACTCTGACTGGTAGATTAATTAAAATATGGACACGTTGCCCAGCCCAGGGATCAAGTAGCTTTGATTAAGCAATTAAGCAGGATGGACAAATGTAAGATCAAAGATACAAACTTGCCAAAAAGAAAAAACTTGATTCTTGTTCCTCCACCAAGATTTTCTAAAAAAATATATATTAGAGTATCCCACCCGTCTCTTCACCTGAATCATTCTTTCCTGAACAAAACAAGGAACAAGAAAGAAAAGAAGTAATAAAGAAGCATTTGCAGATTCTGAGTTGACATCACTCTCAAACATGGGTAGCTGGGTCACAGTGGTGACTAGTGACCCCTGCAAATCAAGTGACAAACGAGTGATTCCTTTTTTGATTCGGATCAGATCCAATTCAAATCCGAATATGGTCCGATAAGATTTTGATCGAATACCTTTTTTGATTGGATCAAATTGAACAAAAAAATTGATGCTAAATGGATCGAGTTCAAATATACTCCAATACAATCCACCATGACCTGATCCGTTCTGTTAATTATATATATATTATATCATCAACTTTTTTATTACAATCGAATTGGATATCTGATAAAATATTCGAATTCAGATTTCTTATCAGGTTTGATCAGATATATCCTTTACCGATTTTAATCCAATCCGATCCATTTGCAGCTCTGGAGGACTAGCCCATCCTACAATGAATCAGAAATCTTACAATTGAGCATGCATTTGATTCTTATGACTTAGTGTGCTTACATACACTTCCATGGCCAAACTTGCCGTGCTGAGTAACAAACCAGCTAACTGATTGGACGTGTTACAGGCTTATGGCAAAATTCCAATTTTCCCTTGGTCTCCATTTGGAAGGAGTACAAATATAAATGTGCAAAGCGAAAAATCTTGTATTTTGTATGCATTTGTACTGTATTATTTTGTATGTACTTGTACTGTATGTATTTTTATTTATATTCCTTCCAAACTGAGCCTTGGCAATTAATGTTGAGTAAAAAACCACGGCATAACAACAACAAACAAGCTCGTTGTCATTACAACCACACCTGTAACCACCAACTACTGCATTTAGGGCTGTAATCTTTAGGATTGAAAAATATGAACCTGATGATGCGTAATCCGGTCGGTCTTAACTGTCAATGACCTTGTCTTTGAATCGAGTAGCGGGGACCTGAAACGGAGGAGATGAAGAAGCTCTGGGGAGAACCCGGTATAAAGGCTCCGAAGCTTAAGTTAGAATCTTTCAAAGGCAAGAGAAACCAGATAGCGCAAGGTTTGCATACCTCCTCTTTGGGGGTGGAGCGCCTTTTATAACCACCTCGCGCACTCACTCCTAGACTCCTATCAAGTCGGGAATGAGTATTTCCGTGCTTCTGCCAGTCCGGGTGTCATCGCCCCTGCTGGGGCAGAACCGTCGCTGCTCCTTTTGTCGAAGCCGTCTCTGTAACTGGAGGCAGTGGTGACAGGTGACGGTGGTGGGTGGCCGTTGGAAATGTGGCCGTCAAGCGTCAGATCCCAAGTCAGTCAGGTGCGCCGCCCCTGGATACGGACTCCTTCGGTGTTAGGTACGGCGTGGTTCGTCCAGTTCAATGCTCCGGAAGCGAAGTAACTGGAGTGGTGCGTAAGGCAAAGTCTCGAGTTTGGAGAAGGGGAGGCCCCGAATTGTCATAAGACGGGCCCGTTCGGGTCTCTGCTTTGTGTGGCGGGGTCAAAAGGGAGAGTTCGAGGCTCCTCGCAGGGAGTCCGATCACTAAGTAGGGAGCTCGGGCCTCTTGCCAGGGGGTTCGAGCTCTAAGTAGGGAGCTTGGGCCACTTGGTAGGGAGTTCGAGCTCTAAGTAGGGAGCTCAGGCTTCTTGCTAGGGAGTCTGAGCTCTAAGTAGGGAGCATGGGCCTCTTGCTAGGGAGTTCGAGCTCTAAGTAGGGAGCTTGGGCCTGCTGGTCCCTTCCCTTTGGCGTTTGTACCCTCGGTATGCTGTCTTGAGTTCCGAGTTGCTTGCCTTTTTTGCCACGTGCCGTGATTTGCGAGGTCGAGCCAAATCTTCCTTCATCAATCGATTCAGGTTGGGTTAAAGTCAAGGCTTGGAAAACCAATTCAACCTTATAAATAAATATTATATAATTTTATATATAGATATATGCGTGTATACATGCATGCAATTATGCATTCATAATTACATGACTTTATATAGACTAGCACATACAAGAGCACGTGTATATAGGTGCCTAATTAAATATTAATCATATATAATATTGTAGGGATGAGATATCCATCATATGGATGGACATGTATATAGGTGTATAATTAAATATTAATCATATATAATATTGTAGGGACGAGATATCCATCATATGGATGAGCAAACCCTACAGGAAAGTCGGGCGAAATTTCAAAAATTTATCTCTCTCCCATCTGGGAATCGCATTCCATATTTTAAAAAACTACATTTTCAATGATCAATATTGAACTAAAATCGGACTAAATCTGAAACCAAAAGAGAGGAAAATGATACACCAGATATGAAGTAGCAGTAACTCCCAAGGAGAAAACCAAAACCCGCTTCCGCTGAAGATGACACAGTGTGTACTGAAGTAAGAACAGTAGGACGGCTCTTCAGCAAAAATGGAGTAAAGGGCTAGTGAGCATGACATCAGATTGTTTCTTCAACCAAAAAGCTATCAAGAACCTTTCTTGATCAATTCTTCAAGAGGAGATTGAATTGGGTAGGGATGGCAAGAATATGAGAGAATTCTACAAGTTGCTGTGTTATCTAACTGAGGAATTCACCCCTTATTTATAGTCTTCTCAGGATCAACCTCGTAATCTAATTAGGAGAGAGAGTTCCTTAATCCAAATCTGATATTTGGATCTGAACTCTCGAATGGATAAGACTTATCTTATCCTTTAGCTAATCCTAATCAGATTATAAATCCTATCTTGCCTCCTTTTAATTAACTAACTTAAGCCCAGTTCGAATTAGTCTTTAGGCCCATTAAGCTTATGTGCTCAGTTACCCCTTAACCTACTACCCAGTTGGCTCTCTTTGTATGGTGTGGGACCTTTACATCGATCTACACATTAGCCACATGGGTTCAGCCCAACCTTTGTTACAAGGCTTGGCCGAATTCACTATAAGAGATAATAAACCCTTGAGTACATCACCATGGGCTCTTAATTGGCCCAACATTTACACTAAATGGTCATTGCATCCAGCCACCTTATGAAAACCCAAGGACTATGGGCAGATGCAAGATTAGCCCATCAGGTATTACCCTCAATGGTCGTACACTTGACCTCTCAGCCCATAATGATCACACATTGCCCGACAAGAGAAGACATCTCCCTCGGCTGCAAGGAACAGTGTTGCATTCTCTACTCACATGAATCCCAGGAATTAAAACCTTTTGCAAACATTTTGAAACAATAATATATATATGTATGTATATAATATATATATATATATATATATATATTGCAAAATATATCTCAATGTTTGAAATCAACTGCCGGCAGTTTAGGTTTTCATCAGAGAGAGTGCATTCCTCAATCATTCACTTTATTCGACAAAGGGGTTGATCCTGTCACTATGATCATTCACTTAGATGAATTCTCGGACTGTCCCAACATACATAGGTTTTGACCCCCTCTAAGGATCTCACTGATTGGCATATCAAAGACAGTCCAATCCGATACCTAGTGCAGTACCATAATTGAGTCTAGGGGTCAGGTGTAACATTCTAGTTTTATCCATCTATCTCCAAGGTCCAGGGCAATACTGGAATTTGGTCCGGTTCAGGTTTCAAGAGAACCCACACTGCATGTACCTCATGTCTCACCCTGGCCACTGAGACAAGCCACCCCAACCAACTTGTCGGCACATCAGTGTCAGCCTTGGTAGGATAAATCTCCCCAGATCTATTTGACGGCTGTGAAAATTCTAAACTAACACGAGTCTCATAAGTATCTAGTTTAAGAGTATTACATAGAAACACACCAGGACACATGAATCAATTATGCACTTGTATTCATTTACAATAAATGTTATCAAGTACATTAATATGATTGGAGCTAAGGGCATACACTATCTAACAAATATATGATATTTGAATTTAGGCAGGAGTGGCAGAGAGGAGCCATCCTCCCCTTGCCTTCAAAATTCCCATAAAATCTATTTAAGTTCCATTTATATTTTAGCCCCCTTATCCAAGTTTCCTATCTTTTGGCCCCCATATCCATGTTTTTTAGGTTTTGGCTCCCCTCAATAAAAAACCCTAGCTCCGCCCCTAAATTTAGGCTAAGTTTAAGAGTGCTTAAAAATAAGTATTTACTCCAAAGCACTTATTTTGGGTCAAAACCACACCAATATGCACTTATTTGCATTTGTAAAATAAACCCAAAATAAAGGATTATTTAGAGAAACCCACTTATTTGAGAAGCCCAAATTTTGGTTTCACTTTTAAGTGTTTATTCCATAAGTACTTTTTTCCTTTTTGGCTAATTTTGGTTTGCCATGTCAAAAATACCTATACTACCCGTGTTTATACCAAGTGCTTATTTATTTTCTGGCTTATCTTTGTCTGCCATGTCATTTTGAAAATTTCTATGCTATCCTTGTTTAAAATAAATGTTTTTTCACCAATATTTTTAAACACTCCCAAATTTAACATTAATTTAATTGACCTCCGTATGGAACCCAAGAAAAGTATCTGCTTTGTACAGATGTATCAACTATTACAAGTTTGAACATTGAAGGCAAGATTCTCTAGTGTTATGAAAGTATGACACTCTCATAGCACCATAACTTTGTGCGTGTACATAGAATAACGTCTTGTTTGTTTTGGGGTAAATAAGGGTAGGTAAGTTGATCAACGGGAGAGTGGATCGATTTAATTGTGTTCGTTTTTTGTGCTATTGATGGCTCATGTAAATAATTTACTTGAGAGTATCAATTTTCCGAGAAACTAATACCCTTGAGCGACTTGCATTCGTAGTAAGTAATTTGATTGTTTAGGCACGAAGCATACTTACCTAGTGCGGATCATATGTTAATACGAGGAATGCAGTTATTCGAGCAAATTTTACTTATAAAATATTTACTTAGATAAATGCAATTATTCAGGTATTAACGATGCCTAAATGCTAAAATCAGTTACTACTAATATATTTAAGTTCCAACTTGAATCCAATCAGAAAAAGGTCATGTATACGCTAGGATTAGGGTGGAGGGTTAAAGTGTTAAACAACTCGGGTTGAATTAGGAGTTAGAATTGATTTTAACCCATCCAAACCCGGCCCAACTTGCACCCCAACCGCAATCAGCCAAAACTGACACTATGTCGTAGTTATTTGCGCTGAAAGAATATCGTCCTTAGTTAATCATGAAGGCTCTTATATGATTCTTCTCGTTTTCTCAACGAAATTACATTTGATTCATATAGGAATCTAGATCGGAATTAGTTCAGACGGAAATCAGGTGGAATGGAAATAGGATTCGTCCAACCAAACGGTTGGTTGGAATCGGAATGTCCAATTCCAAACATTTATTCTCACCAAGGCAAACGGGCCCTTAGTAAGAATTAGAATAGAGAAAAGAGGTTCAATTCAAATTTATTCTCACGAGCCTCCACAGTTGCTTGTGCTCAGGAAGCCCAAACTTCTTGAAATATGACGACCGAGTCCTCAGTCCTCACTCTCCAAGTGTCCCCAAGCTTCACCACGTTGCAGCAAGAGTTAGCCGCGCCAAGAACACGAAGTTTTCCGTGTCGCAGCTTGGCAGCGCCACCGCCACCACCACGCCACCTCTTTCAAATTTTTATCTCCTTCTTTCATCTGCCTGTATATAATCTCCGCCCTCTCTTTTTCCCTTTTACAACAGACGAGAAAGAAAAGAGGAAGAAGGGTTCAAGGCTTCAAGCTATCATGGCATCGAGTGATCAACCTTCTGGTACTATCGCCTGCGACGCTCCGACGCCGGGGCAGCCGCTGACGATGGGGACGCAGGTGCTGGACGCGTGGGCCAAGATGATGCAAGGGATGAAGCCCATAAAGCACATACAGCAGCACGTTTGCACCTTCGCTATGTACAGCCACGACATGACTCGACAGATCGAGACTCACCACTTCGTCACTCGCCTCAACCAGGACTTCCTCCAGTGCGCCGTTTACAACTCCGATTGCTCCAGCGCTCGCCTCATCGGTAATCGATCCCTTTCTTCTCTTTTCTCCAGTTCTCTTCTCTTCTCTTCTCTTTATATTCTTTTCTTCATCTGGGAAAAATGTCGAGCAGGTGTGGAGTATATCGTATCGGATCGGATTTTCGAGGCTCTGCCACCGGAAGAGCAGCAGCTGTGGCACTCTCACGCTTATGAGGTCGATCGAACTTTTCAGTTTTCAGTTTTCCGTTTTTTGATCTGGTGTATACAAGTTCATGATTCATTGATACTGATTAGCTGTTGGACGGCCCAGATCAAGGCGGGTCTGTGGGTGAATCCCCGGGTCCCAGAGATGATGCAGAAGGTGGAGCTCCAGAACCTGGCCAAAACCTACGGCAAGTTTTGGTGCACGTGGCAAGTTGACAGGGGTAAGTACTAAGTAGTAACTGAGAACAATCAATAAAGTACTGATTACGAGACACGTTGCAAATATCTGGTGGTGGGGTTTTTGATTGGGTGAAACAGGAGACAGGCTTCCATTGGGTGCACCATCGCTGATGATGTCACCGCAGGCGGTGAAGCTGGCGATGGTGAAGCCGGAGCTGGTGCAGAAGAGAGATGAGAAATACAGTGTTTCGAGCGAAGGTCTGAAGAAGTCGAGGGTGGAGATCGAAGAGCCGGAGTGGATAAATCCGAATGCGGATTACTGGAGGAAGGTCCACAAGGGTTTCGCAATCGACATCGAAGAGACGGAGATGAAAAGAATGGCTCCATTTCCATGAAAAGGGAGAAAGGATCAATGAACAGAAAGCTCTGGAAGGAAACTCTGTTTTCTCCTGGTTGTTGTGTTGTTATTGTCTTTATCGTTCACCAGCTTTCATTTTAATAAAACTTTCCCAAGGATTAGATTTGCTGAGGATTTCCCTGCGTTTGCATGAGGATTTCTCTCTGCGTACTGCGTGGGTTAAATTTGGGGTGTCAATGGACCGGTCTTGTAGATTTGTTGGACCAGTCTAGACATTTGGATTAGATTTGGACCTGGTCCCTCCATGGATATCAGGACGGTTTGGGTTCGTCCTATCTGTAATATATCTGTAATGGACTCATATTAGAACCCCAGTTGACACCCCAAGGTAAGGTTAAATGAGTTTATTCTCTTTAATGTCAAACCCTAATTAATGCTCTTTCTCAAAGCTCTATGGCCTCTATCGAAAGAGCTTCTTCCACAAGGGAAAATCTCGAATCCCCATTATCAAAGAGATTTGTATTGAAATACATCAAAAAGCTACAAATACCTATATCACCCACCCAGAAATACCCAGAATTCGGGTTGGCAGATTTCTAATTCATATGCCAATTTCCAATTCATACAGGAAGGGGGTGTTTGGTACAGGCATCATTCTGGGCCGATCAATATAGAAATATGTATTTCTATTCTGGGCCGATCAATACAGAAATATATGTATTGATACATCGATGTTTTAAATAGAAATAGCGATCTGTATTGTCAATACGAATTTCACAATTTGTATTGATCAACACGCAGGACGCAGGACGCAGCACTATTGTAACAAACACCCCCGAATTTTCCCCCCCACATACACACCTTTGCCGAATCTAGAATGCTTGTGCAGTTGCACTAAGTGGGTGTTTGGTACAGCAGAGAAATGTGTTTCCAAAAATGGATCAATTTAATTCAAAAAAAATGTTTTCAGAACATTTTAAATAGAAAAATCTCTCATAAATTTCTATTCATCAACAACCCAGATGGCTACATGCCACTGTATCAAACACCTAGATATTCAGGGTTCATAACTTTCCATGCATCATATCGATCCGTAAGACTTGATTTGATTTTCTACTGCACAGAGCATATGGATATTATGTTGTTTGATTAAAAATTTTGTTTCTGGACAAGATTTGATCAACTGATTTCATGGAATCAGGATGAGAACATTCAAGTAAATTTTCTAATTTCTTCAAAGTTTTATGTTTTAAATTTGTTTTAATTTTCTGAAATCAAAGATCAAATATATGGTACAAGGAGGTTGACAGGACCCATGAAAGGAACTTCTTTCTTTCTTTGTTTCTTAAGAAACCCATGAAATGAATTGGGAACTTCAAACTTGAGTTGACAGATAACACAAAATCCGGGAGGTTGCTGTTTCCATAGCTTCAAACCTACCTTGCAATGCGAAAAGCCCAAGCCAATTTCACCAAACATAACTTTTAAGCTGTCTATGGATCCCATCTCATAAAGCCAGAAGCCGCTGTGTGGAATCACTCCCAAACAGGCAAAAAAAAAAAAAAAATCCACATTTGCAATTGATATTAATGAAAATCTTGCGAAAAGAGGGGGTGGTGAGGGGTGATGGTTGGGTGGCAATTTTCAATCCAACCCACACATTTATTAGTGGGTTGGAAGTCAAATTCCAAGTGGTTAGTGGATTGGTTAACCCAAAGAGTGATCATTAATTTAATAGATCATGATTAACCACTGGATATCCATTAGCAAGCTAGAGTAATGTTGTTAGTGTATAATGTACATTAGCAACTGCTAGCTAGCTAGTGTTCAACAAAGATAACGTATGCAGAATACAATTCGGAGGTTCCTACAACCTGCAGGTTTGTTTTGATTTTTGAGGCAGATCTAGAATCTACCTTGGAGAGAGTATGAACAGTCGAATTTAGACCTCTTTGATGAAAATATTACTGTAGATAAAACAAAGGAAGTTCCAACCATCCATGAGGAGTGTATTGATGAAAGTTAAGGATGGTCTCTGTGTTACTTACTACCTCTGCATTGCCACATCCATGAGATGATGAGAAGCGCTGCCATCAAAATTCATTGAGGTATGGCCCATTGCATTAGGCAAGGTTCAAAGTATGGATACGTACGTATTGGTCTGTATTATGTCAATGACTTATCTATATTTATCGGCCCATATCAGCCAGTATCGGTCAATACGTATTGTGCTGATGGCTTACCGCTTTCGAAAAATAATAAAACTTAAAAAAAGTACAGGCCGATATGCCCTTATTGATATTTAGAACCTTGGCATTAGGAGGTAAAGTTAAAGTAAATACTTTATATTGGACTGGGCCCATCTATAATGGATTTATATTGGACTGACTTATCAATATCTAGTCTATTAACAGGAGAGAAGAGTATGGTGTCAATGGACCAAGTTTAGGTTGGATTTGATCTAAATTAAAACTAATTTGAACAGATTGGACAGTCCAATAAGACGTATTGAATTGGACTGGACCTGTCTAGACTTAATGGTCTAAAGCATTTATCAGATTGGATGACCCAATCCATCTATAATTGACCCATATTGGACCAAGTCAGGTTGGACCAATATCCAGTCCATTGACAGCCCTACAGGTAAGCATAGGCTCTACAGATAGTAACAACATAGTCAAAAGCTTTGTTCTCAAAAATTAGGTCATTCCTAGACTTCCAGGTGTGCCATACGACACATGCAATTTTAGCAAAACATGAGTGATTACCAATGCTTAGAGCTGCTCATTTTTAGCCAATTGATAATCTAGTCCTTCAAGCTTATAAGTGAATCAGAGATTTTAGAGAGAACTTCGAGTCCAGTGCATGAGGCTCTCACCAATGCAAGGTCTGGGGTTCGAGTGAAGTACACATCTTTACCCCTACACATATGGAGAGGCTATTTTCAAGATTTAAACTTTGATCACCCAGGTTACAATGGAGTAATTGAACTGTTGTACTTGCTCCTCACAAACACACCTCACATTGACCTTACAGCACATTCCACTATGTATTGGGAACATCTTCCTATGAATAACAAGATACAAGTTCATATTCTGAAACACCTACAAATTAAAATTTATATTCTGGGTGGGATGGATTTAACATTCCATACATTTCCAAAATCCACATTCTACTCCATTACAGGGGGCCCATGCATGGGAACTAGCTTATGGTAGGCTGATTTTGAGAACATCCCATTGGGTTTCAGTACCAAGCATAATTTGTCAGCAACTAGCGGCAGATGTCGTTGAGTGGGAATATGGTTGATTGATTATGTCAACCATAGCATCACCAAAATACCGGAATAGGAGAGGAGAATTCCATTGCAAACGTGCAGTGCCATTTTGGTAGCGCTTTCAATGGGTTGGGTCTAGGTAAAATCAATATTAAACCGATTATTAATTAAGACAAAATCATAAATCTAAAACCATCCTACTTAATAGTTGGGTGTATTGGGTCCACCTGATTATACTGAAAACTATATTTATTTATTTAAATAATAACAACTTAAAATTTAAATTTTGAAAACATAACCTCAATAAAAATGATAGAAAATACTAAGGCCATATTCAAGAGTGTTTGTGTCAAAAATAAGTGCTTATTTGCATTTAGCACCGAGCACTTGAAAAAATGAACACTTATTTCATACTGGGCATTTGGTGGTCTTTTCTCCAATAAACACTTAAATGAGCACTTGTGACTCTTGTGTCTTTCATTTTCTTTCAAATTTCAAAATATCGAATTCAAAGTGAATGAAAAAAAGTATTTTTATAAAAGTTCTTTCGTGAAAGTGCTTTCATAAAAATGCTTTCGTAAAAGTAGTTTTTATAAAATTACTTTTATAAAAGTGCTTTGTAAATTGCTTTCATAAAAGGGTATAATTGGTATTCTAAAAATTTATAGGAGACAATTCTGAAAGAAAATTTTGAATAAGTGCTTATTGTATGAGCACTTAAAAAATACTAGAAATTTGGGCTTAAAAAATAAGCACGTGTTTCGGGCTTATTTATTGTCTAACAAATTTACTATTTCAAACATAAAACATGATAAACATTATAAGAAAATTGAGAAAATATTATATATATTTAATAAAGTAATTGGTTCCAAGTCTGAATTAGCTTGGAATAGACAAGAAATGGACCCAATTATTAATCGAGACAAATCATGGAACCAGAACCATTATAGTCGGTTTGGTCGATTCGGGTCCACCCAAGCCATGACAGCTCTAGATTTTCATTCAAGATCTACTCTTGACACTCTGGTTTGGACCTAGCACCAATGGAATCCAAGGGTCTTTGAAGGGGCTTGAATTGAATCACCATCTTCTAAGAGACAAGGGGTTCCTCCCTTCAGCAATTCTATGCTTTCAAGAATTGCCCTCCAACATTTAGAAGAGACGTAACATAACTATTTGCAGAGAGTTGAGACCAAAGAGAAGTAACATTCATAGCAGCCTCCAACTTATTTTGGCCAGGAAAGCTTTATTAACAAAATGGAAGTTTTTAATGCTAGGCTTTGAGTACCTTGGGTTTTTGAAATTCCAACCATGCTCGTAGAAAGATTTGGGAGCCAAAGTTATCAACTCCGCACCAGAAACTCCAAATAAGTGAATGGACCTCTTGGCAAGATAGATGAAAGGATATAACCATGGTTCACATGTAATAAGTAGGGATCGAAGAAAGAGTGGCTTTGATTATCATGATTCACCCAACGGGTGATAGACATTATCTTTCCATCTCTAGTTTATATTTTGACCTTTAGGCTCAGTTTGGAGGGAGTATAAATACAAATATATACAGTGCAAATATATTCAAAATACAAGGTTTTATACTCTACAAATTTGCATTTATTATACTCCTTTCAAACTGAGCCTTATGTTATCAAATTTGGCAATGAGGGTAAATCGGAAACATTGGAACTGTACAAAAAGATGTCAAAGGCCTTGGGGTGTGATTCTTGTTAAGTTAGGTGAGATGAAAGCAAATAGCAAGAGTAATAGAGTGTGTAAGAGAGATACCTACTATTTCCTACCTTATTTATAATTGATACGCCATTAAAGGGCTTTGAAACAGGTCCTCACATCAGCTCGCAATGACTAATGGCTCCATTTAGAATAGGGACCATATGGCTGAGCATTACTTTGATATTTAATGACCCAATAGGCCCAGATTGGAATGGTCAGAGGGAGGTTGTCATAAAGCCTAAGGGTGACATCTCGCAATTGCCCTCTAAGGCCTGTGAAAGGACGAGGCCACCCTCCAATGTTGCCACATGTCACAAGGCAATTGGGTCAAAGTGTTTGGCTATATCAGACCGTATTGCCAATAAAGGAGCAAACGCTAGATGATCTTCTAGAGGAGAACAAAGGATTTCCCCTTCATTGTGTGCAACAACTCCAGGAAATCGAGTAGTTATCTACTATTTGTCCAGCAATGAAAAGCGGTTTGATTTTGTGAGATGATCTTGTGCATTAGTGGCCGCAACTGATTTTCTGATGAATTTGTAGTTGACTTACAAAAGCCAATGGGACGCAATAAGTCAGTAGGCAACTCTAGAGGTGTGTTCTTTAGTATCAGAGCTAGGAATCTATGGTTCAAAGAGTGGTGAAACTGTTTCTCTTGAATCACCTCCCACCCAGATTGAAAGAAAATTGTTGGGAGTCCATTAGGCCTCTTGAATCTCCTCAAGTTATCTTTTAAGTCTTAAGAGTTGGCTAGACAATAGCAAAGAGAAAAGTGAAGAAAATGATCACCCTTTAGTCTTTGGGTTGAGATCTCTCTTCTGTATTTTAAGTATAGTAGTATATGTACCATGGTTTTCAAAACCGGCCTGGACAGTTGGACTGGAAAACCAGGAATCGGTCAGGTGATGGGTTCCGTTTCCCCCCCAAAACCGGATTTTTTCAAAAAACACGTTGATTTTGGTCAGTAAATTGTTGAACCGGGCAATTAACCGTTCAAACGATTTTGACCATTTTTTATTTTTTTTTGTCAGAACGGGCTGTTCGTTCGATTCGAACGATCGGACCGTTCGACCCGATAACCAGACCCCTGACCAGTTCGGTCTCCAGATCAGTTTTAAAAACCATGATGTTTACAATTGTAGGATAAAAGATATACAATGTCATGGTCATCTCTAACTCCAAAAGAAACCTGAAGTAGTAGGATGAAAACAATATGCATGGGTCGGTTCATGGGCTCTCTGACGCTAATGCTATCAGCACCCCTCGATCGAGCTGAACGGGGTGCAAACCTTTAGTGAATAGGTTCTCAAGTTCTGTACTGGAAATAAATCGAACAACTTCAATATATTTGGTTCTTGCATGAAAAAAACTGGGCAAACGACAGAAATATTATCACACCAAATGACCAGATTAGATAATATAGGAATATTTAATCCCACATAACAAAATGGTTTCATGTCTATACTAGCAGAACAATGGTTAGATGAGCAGACTAGGACTGGTTGTTTTTTAGCAGACCAAGAGATTGAATTAGAGCCGAATAACACACATGCACAACAAAAAAAGGCATTGATGGAGAACTGATCAAGTGGACAACCGGCCCAATCAACATCATAACAAGCAGTGAGGTGAAGTGACCCGGATGAAGGTCAACCCCAAAAGAGATGGCATTAGCGTTAGAGAGCCCATGATGACCCGGATAAAGGTCAGCGTTCTGATACGGTGGGCAGGTGGGAAGATTATGATTTTGCTGATGCCCATGATTCGGCTTACTACCAAGTGTTGATTGATGATGGATCAACAAAGAGGTCCTCTGATAAGGAAATTTCTTCACAAATCAACAAAGTCATGCAGTTCTTCACAAATCTGCATCTGCTGATTACCATTTTAGCAGGATCCAACCCAATAGGAATGCACCGTTGAGCATGTAAATACAGACCATCTGTACTGTATTTATGCGGCAATTTATACTTGCATGCTTGGAGGTGAATTCCTATTGGGGATAGATCTGTTAATAGGTGACCAGCAGATCCATGTAAAGACTGAAAATAACAGATCAAATCAGATATGCCTAGATCGAAATTTGATTAATTAGTATTTAGATTTTTATCAAATATTATCCCCCAATTAGATCACATTCAATAGTGAAAACCATCAATAAATTAAGTTAAAAAAAAAAGTAAAAAATGATTCTAACCCAGTTCTTGTTTTTTTGGTTCATTGGGCTATACAACGGGGTATCCCAACCTCCATATCCATAAACCCCCCAAACCCTAACGGCAGCAGGATTCTATCCAGTCTCTGTTAAAACAAACCAGCAATCCTACCAACTGACCCACCCATCAGTTGGTTAAAAAATGCCCAAAGGTCCAGTTGTCAGGTCCATATCCAGGCTACTCCTTAGCAGGGAGTGATATTGGGTAATGGCTTTTTTTTTCATATATATAATGGAACATTTACAAGATTAAAACCTATAGTTTCAACAAAAAGAAAGGCACCTATGACTCTTTTCAAACGAGATTGTTCATAGAAAAATAATTTTATACTTGAATTTTATGGGAGCAGATTGAAATGGAACCATTCAATCCAAATAGAAACTGATCCAATTTGGATCACCTTTATCAGATCAAATTCGAATTTTGGACAAATGAATACCATTTTTAGCCCCAAACTGTAGGCAAATCAATTGGTCAGTAAAAAAGTTCAGAATAAGAAGTAAATAATGAAAAAAAAAACATTCAATTATTAGAAACCAAATATAACCAGATAACTTGTGGTCAGATACGTATAATAATTACACAAAAAGAACCATAATAACCTAGGAAAGATTTAAAAAAAAAAAAGTACCTACTGATCTAGAAACATAGCCTTGATAAGGTGATCCTAATGCCCTAAAAAGTAAAAACATCAGGAAGAAGTAAAAAATAGATACAAAATTTATACAGCACTTGACTTTCCAAGTACCTCTCCAGCTCTCCTGCAAGAACAGTTCTGCAATTAGTACAGCCTTCTACGTTTCAAGATGGCAGCATTTGGTTGATATTGATACAAGTTTTGAACAGACAAGGAGCATATATCTGGAACAGAAGCTGCACAATCAGATGGTGGATTCCGCAAGTTCTTTGGCCAGTTAAGCCCTGAGGCTGTGGGTGGTGATGGCATCTGTGGCACCATCCATGACATCTCTGGCACCTGACCCAAGCACTCGTCAACATCCAACTCTTCATCTGCCGCTCGTAAAATTGGGGACCAATCAGAATCTTCCTGCCTTCCGCTATCAGCCTAGAAATAATTGTCATAGGACAAAAAAATAAGAACAGAGATGGAAATAGATGAATTACCAGCCAGATGACTAGGTGAAGACTATTATAGGATAAAAGGAATTTCTATCATCCACCTGGAAGACTATTGAACCAGGATACATAATACCATAGAAGTAAATATAAACCTAGGTTATACAAATTTACCAGATCCATAGCTAGAAAACAAAAGAAAGATAAGATGCCACAATAGGACTACAATTTTCCCAAGAAATACATTTCTTAATGTTTTGTCAGCAAATACAAGGGAGGGGTGCTCATAAAAAACTGAGCTGAACCAAATAATCCAGTTAACTGAACCAATTGGTTGGGCTTTTGTTCGGTATTTTTGAAAAATTGAAGGACCAGTTCAGTTTTCTGTTAACCAAACCTAAAATACTACTGAAAGTGCACCACTTTTAAGAAGGAAAGGGTACATGCAGCTCTCATACTCTTTAACGGTCTTTAATACTTGGCTTAGAATAGATCCTTGAAATGAGGCTTCTTGGTGGAGATCCTCAAAAATGACAACAATATGATATGCTAAAGAGTATTGAAAACTACAAATTTCAAAAAACATAGACAGAAGCAGGGCAGCCAACCATGATTGCAGAGGTGAATATCCTTCTATCCAGGGCGGTTCCTTTGGTCATTCACCTCTAAGCTTCTACTCCGAATTAACATAGTGAAGCAGCTAAAGAAATTGGCAAGGTCAAAAGAATCACCAACTTTCTTCAACTATAAAGTATATGTTTAGGAAAGGTAGTCATTTAAAGGAATAATCCCATGTTGAACTGTGTTTTTTATTACCAACCACCAGATAACAACAGCCAAAAGAAACAGTGAAGATAGTATAGGAATTACAGGCAACATAGTTTCAAAAAGAGTGGGATTCTCCTAGTTCAGATTTTTTGGATGATTATTCTCCTACTTTTTGTTTACGTCATGTCCACAAATGAATGCACAATAATAGAATATAGGAGCATGCAATGGCGTTCTACCACAAAAGTCTTATTTATTTCAAATTGTTGGTTTATATGTTTGCATTGCAATAGAAGAAAAAGAGAGATTGTCGGAAGACATTGCCAAAAAAAACAAATCATGTTTGTATGTGTAGGCTAAGGTGCAAAGCACACATTAAAAAATAACGTTTTTTTTTTTTTCATCACATCAATGTGAAAGGAGAAAAGTTCATTTTGGTGGAGTACAAAATACCTTGGAAGATGTGTGGTCCATGAACCCATAATTTTGACTTAGTTCTGTGAACCCAAAAAACTCATCCAAAGGCCATTGTGGGGAACTTCCACTCATAGGTCCCCCAGAAAATGACATTGTACTTGTTGGTAGACTCCCAACTCCACAAACCAGGCTTGACAATGATCCACTATTTTCACCAGCCATTTGTGGTGAGATATGCCTTCTAGGCTCTGGTCTAGATATTGTTCCTATATTTCTAGACACCATTCCAGCACTTGAAGGCTCAAGTCTAGATATTATTCTTTCATTTCTAGGCACCACTCCAGCACTCATAGGCTCAGGTCTACATTCTGTTCCTGGATTTCTAGATACCACCCCAACATCTCTACCAGCAGGGTTCAATTTCTCTTTGGTAGAAGATGCAACTGGTTCTTCAGATTCAAGCCCTACTTTTACTCCTGTCAAGAGGAACCTCTGATGCCCTGACACATAGTTGTTTGCAGTGTGTATGGCAACATCACATTTCCTACAGAGTAAAGCTCGATCTTCTAGACAAAAGAAATAGCCAACAGTTTCCTGCAAAAGTGGATAAATTTTGGGTTAGCTATTTGATAGTAAAAACACAGACAAGTATATAAAAACTTACGAAATGGTGGACATACATCATGAGTCTCAAAAAAAAAAAAAAATGTAGATTGAGATGAGCTAACCAAACCATTACCTAATGTTGGTCATGGCTATCAGACATCAGTGTCAAGGGAGGGGTAGAGTAGACTAGATATGGGCATAATTTTTGGATTTTTTTTGGCACAAAATGGCTGCTCTCAGACTTGAATCTGCAATGACTCCTAGTTAAGCAAAGCATAACTATGGTCAGCTAAGTAATTGTCCTTTAAACATAAAATGGGTGGCAGGTGTTCCAAAGAATCATTAACCAACATCTTGCCCTTGGTCAGATGGACAATGGCCAGGCTTGATTTAGGCCTAGGGAAAGGTTCCTCTTTTTGCCCTTGTCAATTTGGTATCACCTCAGTGAAATGCGGTCAATAGAAAGGTGCTTCTTTTTCCTCTAGAATTTCCTGTAGTAGAGTAAGATTAGCCAGATAAAGCTTCAAATCATTACATATAGTTCTCAGGTTCTCATAAGTGGGTATATGCTAATTCTCCAAGAAACTGGAAATTTTGGCATATCTCCTCATTGACTGATGGTAAACGGCAAGATTATTATCAGTATTGGAATTTGACATTGCAATGGAAAAAAAAATTGGTAAAAACAGAAAGTGTTGTAAAAATTGCACTTGGAAAAGCATATTTTATGCAGAACCAAAGAAAATGGCAGTTTAAAGGGCGGATTCCACTTCCTATTTTTTCATCCATGGGTAAATTCTGCCACCTAATTGGATCCAAAGTCCAAATCCTGATTTTTGGGGGGTTCTCATCCTAGAACGAGGGATTTCAAGGTCCATTTACAGACTTCATTAAAAACACATCCTAAGGATGTAAAGACTTGTTAGAAACTAAATGTAAAGCAAAAATGCTGATTTTACCATCTTCTCAGGTTATATTGAGATATATTCTACATCTTATCTCCTACTGCAATTTCAGTACGAATATCATAATTTACACAAGAAAAAAAAATCACAACAAAATATATCCTATCTTGTGACGATGTCAACTTCCCAGGCTATTAAGGTCATACTAAACTGTTCCACTTCCTCTATACTTCTAAAAGGGCAGCCAAGTGCACAAGGCACCCGCCAATGCAGGGCGCCAGGGCCTGGGGAGGGACAGATGTACACAGCCTTACCCCTGCGCATACAGAGAGGCTGTTTCCAAGATTTGAACCCTGGCCACCCAGGTCACAATGGAGCAACCAACCATTGTTCCAGGGATCACCCTCTGCTTCCTCTATAACTTCTGCTATCTAATAATCAAGTGTGAAGATCACATAGGGTTTCCAATTTATCAGAGATCCCCAACTACCTTCTGAAATTCAACCTAGCAAAGTACAACATGTGTTATATAGATTCTCAGTTTAGTAGCAGCCACTAGTAACCTTGAAGAAATGAAAAATACACAGGTTATAAAACACTGGAAAAATGCTGGAAAGTCCCCTTCAATTCTTTTGGTGAACATCCTTTTCTGACTGGTAAAGAAAAAGAGAATAAGCTATTTAGTAAAGTGTGAAGTGTGTCCATATGTGTGGGGTGGGGGTGGGGGGACTTCTACCCCCCGTCATTGGATCAAATCTCATCTCCAATTCTTCACCTTGTGAAAATTTGATATTGCAAGAGCTCCTGTCCTCTTGTTTAGAGGTTTATTAGCATTTGAATTTATTTTATCAAGCATAAAAAATATCATATTTAATATTAAAAAACAATAAGTACTCAAATCTAAGTAGTTATTCCACAACTCACTAATACAAAACTCACAATAAAACCTGAAAATCCTAACGAAACCAAAGAAAAAAGAGAAACCTAAACAGAAATCATAATAACAACATCCAAATAGATTATTTTGAGCAAATCCCCTCCCAACATAAAGTCTGAAACTGAGAGTTAAACAAAACCAAAATTACATCTCATCCAATAAACCTCACCATAGCAAGTCTCCTTTTTTTTTGGAAAAGAAAAAACGGAGAGATCACCAAATCAATCTGCTACAAGAACGCTTCAGATGTAATCATACAAATCAAAATTAAAGAAGAAAGAAAAAAAAAAACAGAATTAAAATCAATTCAAGCACCCAGAAAACACTGAGAACCAACCATAGAAAAAAGGTTCCAATCAAAACCCATTTCACAAACCAATAAACTGATGCCTTAGACCACCCATCTCACCTGGCATATATCGCATTTCGGCATTTGCGACGACGAATTCGACAGAGGAACCCTCTGATGCTTGCTAGCAAGCTTGTTCGCCGCATGAACCTTCTCGTCACACGCCCAACACAAAGCAGCGTCGTCTGCGCAGCAGAGCACACTGGCCTCCGCCGCCTCACAAGCATTACACTGGATCTTCATCCTTCCTCTCCTCCCCAACAAACCCAAGTCAATTCGAAAGCCGATTGTTCTTCCTCCGGTCAGAAGACTTTTAGATTAGAACCCAACAACCCCTCTCAAATCCCTCACCGCTGCTCCAGCAATCAGTACTACACCTTCTCCTCTAACCTTCTGTGCAAGAAGCAGGAGCTCGAGCTCGTGCTCGTCCCATGAGGCGTTCCCAACTCCGCAGAAACGTGACAGCCTTCTTTATTTGTAAGCGTTGGCAGTTCGCAGTTCGTACAGCACGGGAACCACTTCGGCACTTCTGTCGCCGCTGGTACGACGGTCCAAACAACACCTAAAACAAACCACGACAGCCGAAGTCGCGAGTCGCCCTCACTCGCGCTAAACGACGCCATCTTCCGGTGGGCCCCACCAAGCTCCCCTCCTACAACCGCGCGTGGCGCGTGCCAGTCAATTAAAGTACTCTCTCTCCGGAAGGAAGCGGTTTTATTGTTTTTCGGGAATATTTTAATGGACGATATTTTTCATTTCTTGTCCTGGACCTGGAGTTGATTGCAGAGGTGGGCCACCGACCCATCACCGTCCGATCGGGTGAGAGCCCATGGGAACCACAACTTTGGGCCGGCTGAGCTGGGCCGGTACGGGCAAATATTATTTTATCCGCTTTTCCTGCGGAAAATATCTTCTTCGTAGAAGAGGGCGGAGATGTCAGCATTCCACCACGTGACCGCTTTATCGGCCATACGTTTTATCCGATGATCACGCCCATCCGTGTGGGTCCCGCCACCACAGATTATCATCCGGAGATTCTCGTTTTGATTATTATTTTAATCCTTTTCCTTGGTAGTGGTGGGTCCCGCAAGTGCGGACGGAGCATCCGAGCGTGTTAGGATCATTACCGGATTATGTGAGAAATCGCGAAACGAAGGAGATTCCAATTTCCGGACCGCCCGAGAAGAGGAAACTGCTGACGGCCGGGTGAGATTCGTCGGTTTCGGGCAATATCACTTCCACGTTCTTTCTCTTTCTGTGTTGCCTCGGAATTCTGCTCGAGCGAGGATTTGGATTTCCTTAAAGAGGGGAAAAACACGTGTGATAATGTTACAGGTGGACCGGGGTTGGCCGTGTATTGAGCCCTTAGATGCAGGCCGGGCCCAAGTTATAGCTTTTATTTTCCCTAAATAACTCCCTCTTCTAACAGAACGGGATTTTTGGATTGCTTCGGCCCTCGGAATTTGAGTCTGGATCTCCGGCCGGCGAAAATCCTGCTCACGTTTATCACAACCACATATGGAGAACATCTCATTCTCTGTATGCAGGGGGAGATGTTTCCAATTTACAGAGATAGTGTGTTGTGGGTAGACGTGGGCAGGAGATTCAGTCGGAATTCTGCTATAGCGAGGATTTGCTTAAAGGAGGGAAAACACGTGTAATAATTTTATGAGTGGACCGGAGTTGATTGTGTATTAAGCCCATAGATGCAGATCGGGCACAATATCTCGCTTTTATTTTGTGTAAATTAGGATTGTTCATCAAATCGATGAAACCGATTAACCATTAATTAAAGTTGATCGATTTTCAAGTATTTTCAGTTGGGTTCAGTTTAGTCGTTATACTAAATCAGTTGGGTCGGCTTCAATTTGGTTGTGTATAAATTGACCAAAACTGACCCAATTATATATGAAAGAGTGAACATTTTTCCATATTTTATATTATAAATTTAATGTTTTAATAATATTACTATAATTTTTAAAATTTAAATTTATTGTTTGAACCAATCGATAAAATTAAAACTGACCCAAAGTGATACAACCTAAGTTGGTCAGTTTTCACAAGTGGTCAGACTGATGATGCACGATCTGGCAGCTGTTGGAAGACAGCTCGGACGCCGAGCATGAGTTCCCTGTTGGGGGTGGCTCGGATGTCGAACTGACAAATCAAACCGACCCATGAACACCCTTATCATAAATAACTCCAACTTCTTACGAATGATGAGATCTATTACAAGTAGAAACTCTACACAACTCTAAAAGCAAGCGCATCCAGCAACACATTGGGAATATCAGCCCATAATTCCCAATATGCGGTTGGATTTCAATGCTTTGAGAATGTTTATAGAGTTCTTGCTTACGGAGAATTTTGTCATGAATTTAACACATATACGCAAGAGATATTCTTAATATATGGTTAGATTCTACGTGAATAGAGTTTTTACTTGCACAAGATATGGGTTCTTATAACCGGTTACAGGGGCCTTGACTGTTTTTCTACGTTCAATACGAATGCAAACACTCACTGAAATTTACACTCAAATTCAATTTTATAGGGATTTAGAAAAGGATAAATTTCTTAAATTACCCTTGTAAATTGATCAAATATATCCCTATTATTTGACTATTGTCTAATACTATTCCTATTATTTCTAACAATTGACTAACTCTACCCATATCGTTAGCATACATTAATATTTTGTCAAAACCCGAAAACACATAACACAACATGACGTTTAAATTGTTTTAAAACCCAATATTACTCTCGTCTCATTCCTCTTGACCCGGCACCCCCTTCTTCCTTCAACCTCTCTCTCTTCCCTCTATCTTCCTCCAACCATCACTGTCAGCACCATATCAGCAGTAGCAACTGCATCTCTGCCAACGTAGATGTGATCTGCAACATTGGAGCATTGTTGTCAAAACCCGCCTTTGGGATTGGGGGGTGAGGGCCGTGAAGCCACTCTCCGACATCATCAAAATCTGCCTTTGGCCACTTATCCAAGCTGCAACGACCAATCGGCAATGGCTGCAAGGGGAACAAACAAGCCCGAGCCTTACTATCCTGTTGAAGTGTTGAACTCGCGGAATAAGAGGAACAGGAAATTGCCGCACCTGTCCATTGTTGTCAATGTGGTGTGGTTCTACACAATCTTTTCCACCATCTAAATGTCCAACCACCTGCCAAGAAGACTAGGACGCACACGTCCACAATGTTTTGTGGCCACCAAAAAATCCGGTACTGCCCCCAATAACTGGCAGCATCTTCCTCCCCTACCATGCCCATTGCAAATTATCAATTTAGAAGCCCCACCAAATTCGAACCTAAAATCCTAATTTTGTCTATCATGAACCATTTCCCGACATTGCAATTTGAACCTGATGGTGTACGATTTGGATGCTCCTAGTTATAAGGTAGTTTGGACACAAGTTGCCAAGTAGATCGCTCGAACTGCAAAAAAGGAGGACCAAAGAACTCGGGGTGGCTAACCCAGCGAAATCACTCCGATACTTAAGTTAGTAACTGTAATATGCGAGCTGAGAGCTTAAGAAATAGGAGAGCTAGAATGCACTTAATCGCACATACCCCTTGTGCCATTGGGGTTGGTGCTTTATATAGGCATTGTTTGGTGCAGGCCTCACGCACCGCATCCGAGATTTCTGGGAAGTTGTGCCTAACCGGTCTGAGATCCCTAGAGGTAACCATCACACACGTTGACCACCCTCTGGAACACTCGATACATGGGCCAACTTCCGAGGAACTTGGGAGTGTTTGGATATGCATACCGAATTTGTCGGCAAGCACAACTCGCAGGTCACCTTCTGGACCTCAGCCAGGTCAGCAAGCCCTTGAGGGAGGTTGCTCCTCGCGCCGAGGTCACATCAACCAGTAACGAGGTGCTAAAGGTCAGCCCTATACGAGGTGCACCTAGCCGGCCTAAGCATCTTAGGTGGTGTCCATGTGTCATCTAGCTATTCCAAGATGCCATGTGTCACGATGTGACTGGAGGGCCAAATCCACTCTCATCAATTGCCCCCCACTCCCGAGCTGAGAGCAACTCAGCGAAGGGAGTAGATCGTTCCTTTTGGCCCAGAATGACTGTTTGATGAGCTCGTAGTCGTAAGCGTTGGTCCAATTCGCTTCTCAAGTCGGAAGAGTTCAAGTGTTTGCAAGCTTACACAAGACCTGGCCGTCTTGATTTTTGGGGCATGAGAGTGAATTCATCTGCTCGAGGAGAGGTGGAGCAGGTACCCAAGGGACATCTACCTTATTAGGGATGTGACCATCAAGGGGTTCTGCAATCCGGCTAAGTACCTCAAAGGCGAAGCTCATCATGCCATCCTTAAGAAGGGGTTCTAACTGCGTGATTGTTTTATTACGTCGCTCCACCTAGGTAGACTTTGACGCAGTGTCACTCGAACTAGTTCTCAAAAGAGTAGCCAATGAGTTCGATGTGGAGTCTGAAACCGAAGTGAAGAGATCGGCCAAGTTTGCATCTGTTATGGTGCTGAGAGCGAACTAGTCTTTCCTTTGTTCTCTTAATCGTGCTGAATGCAAACTGTTTTTTACTTTGCCCATTCAAAAGAGGCGGCTGGGTCTTATGTGGTGCCGAGGTCTTTTATTAGCTCGGCACCCTAGCCCTTAGGCTCTGGGAGTGACTCGCGATCTACTCTCTTTATCCTCGATTTTTCCCATGCCGAAGAGGCGACTGGGTCTCATGTGGTGCCGAGGTCTTTTATTAGCACGACACCTTAGAACTTAGGCTTTGGGAGCGTCTCGCGATCCACTCTCATTATCCTTGATTTTGCCCATGCCGAAGAGGCGATTGGGTCTTAAGTTGTCCATGTCGAAGAGGCGATTGGGTCTTAAGTTGTCCATGTCGAAGAGGCGATTGGGTCTTAAGTTGTCCATGCCAAAGAGGCGATTAGGTCTTACTCATGTTTAGCATCGATGTCACTATTTGTTCGGCGCCGTGGCCCTTGGGCTCTGGGCGCGACTCATAGTCCACTCCCCATAATACTATTTAGCTGACATGCGGCCTGACCTCTCCGCCTAAGCGGGTGGTCATTCTGTAGTAACTTCTCATATAGCTGCTTCTACATCATCCCGTGGGATTATCTTCTTGGGTGAGTGCTTGCAAGACCACAACGTACATGTTCTGTGAGGGTTGTTGATACATAAAGTAGTTATTGGCATGAGTCGACAGTTCAAGGCCACGGTTGCACTACACAACCTCGTAGTGATGCCAGTCATCCACTCCTACAAGAAGTCACTGGGAGGTCGTCCAGAGAGGGCAGCACTACTGACTTTAGGTCGCCAGCTCGCATGGAAGCCTTGGAAGGCTCAACCTGCAAGGGTGTCCCTGCAGTCCATTGGCTACCGACCCCTACAGGAGCCACGAAGAGCTCGACTTGTAGAGGCGACCTCAAGAAACGGGGCGGATGAGGCCTTATCCTAGCTGACTGATGTTGAGGATGAGTTGAGGTCATTCTGTTGCTGCCTACATCGGGCTTCTC